AATCACACAACCACACAGGTCGAGAGGGGAGGGGAACTCATCAACCCCAGGCCTGCCGGCAAAGCCTGGAGAGACCGGAAGGCCTGGAGAGAGGTGAGGGTCCGAATCTCCGTGGGGAGTTCGTTCCAGAGGGCCGGAGCTGCCACAGAGAAGGCCCTCCCCCGGGTAGTAGCCAGGTGGCATTGGCTGGTGGACGGAACCCGGAGGAGGCCAACCCTGTGTGGTCTAACGGGTCTTTGGAAGTCCTCCCCTCTTAGTGATCAAGGTTGAACAACACTGAACGATCTCCCTCTTTGTGACTGTTGCGACCCGCCAGCGGTCAGCGGAGCTGGCAGCAGAATCGGACAGTGAAGAGGTTGGGGAGGAACAGGGGTCCTGACCTAGAGGCTGGGGAAGGCCCTGAGCAGCTCTGTGTCAGAGGCAGAGAATGGGCCGAGGCTGCCTATGGAGCTAGACAGCAGTGAGGCAGAGCAGCAGCTGGAGCCTGTTCCCAGTGTGTGCATGCATCAGTGGTGGGATTCAGCCAGTTCGCACCTATCCACCAGTTGTTAACTTTCTAAGCAGTTCAGAGAACCGGTTGTTGGAAGAAATCTCATTTTGTATTTTTCCACTCTACAGGGCTAATCCTGTAAGGAAGGCAGGAAGGATAGTGTTGTTTCTAGCCTAATCTTTATTGCCCTGCTTACAGAAAGTGCCTCTCCGGTTAACCCTTATTACCATTGTAACAGTTAAGGCGAAGCGCCCATCGACCTGAGTGACATTGAGTTGGCCACGCCCACCCAATCACATGACCACCAAGCCCCACCTACCCAGATGGTCATTGGGGCATAGAACCGGTTGTTAAATTATTTGAATCCCACCACTGGCATGCGCAGAGCTGCCAGAATACAAGAACAGCTAAGAAATCAGGGTCGACTTGGGAGTAAAGCCACCGCTGAATGGCCCCTCCCATAGGGAATAAAAGAGGAGCGAAAGGGGAGGGGGCTTTTGCAGGAAGCAATTCGTTCATTCAGTCGTTAAATTCGTTTCAGGAGTGTGAAGATCTGTCTGTGAATCTCAGAGACTCTGTGCCCAGTCTTTCCTTGCACAGTACTGCGTTTGGAAAATATTTAGATTCCAAGCTAGATAAGGTCTGTGGTCATAAATACTCCTTTGAAAGTCTGTTCGCCAGTATTTCACATTCGTTTCATAAAAAAGTTTTTTTTTCTTCCGGGAGCAGGAGTCTGCTTCATACTATTGGGGGAAGCCGAGGTCAGAATTGTGACATCAAAGGAGATCCACTAATGGTCGCCTCCCAGAGGTGGGTTTCAAAAATTGTTGGAACCTACTCTGTGGGTGTGGCCTCCTTTGTGGGAGTGGCTTGCCACCCATGTGAGAGGATGGGAGTGGCTTGCTGTCCATGGGACCGGATGGGAATGGCTTGCCGCCCATGTGACCGGATGGGAGTGGCTTGCTGTCCATGGGACCGGATGGGAATGGCTTGCCGCCCATGTGACCGGATATGAAATTATGAATT